TTGACCGAACCGCTCACGAGCGGCTCGACTTATTTACACCCCTAAAAAGGTACTTTAGTCAAGTTCCATTAATCAACCTGGGGAGAGTATATGACTTTTTAATTTATGCCTTTTATTATGACTCCATCTGTAGGGCATGAGGTATGACCGTGATAGTGTTGTAAATCCATAACTTCATAATTTTACATTCAGATCGAATGTGAAATTATAACTTTATAACTATACATTCAGAATTGCATGCATAACTACACATCTATAACTTCATAACTATACATTCAGAATTGCATAACTACACATCCATAACTTCATAACTATATATACATTCAGAATGTGAAATTATAAAATTATGAACATATGTTTACGTATCTAACAGCAATCGAAAATAATTTCTTTTTTCTTTTTAAAGTAAAACGACGTCGTTTTTGCAACCGTATGTATGCATGGTGCAAATGGTTGCAGCATAATTTGCCCACCAAGATACCGGCCACTACATAGAGATGAACAAAGCAATTGCAATAGGATATTAGTGAGTTCTCAAAAGCCTATTAAAAATACATAGAGATGAACAAATTTATGTTGCTTTTTATTTTTCAGTACATAGAAATTTTTAGGCAAGTGTGTATAAATGTTTGTTTTAGTGAGCTAAAATCCTAATAAAATTGTCAAAGTTATTTTTGTTGCAATCAACCACAAAACATGTATTGGAGTTCATGTCTAAAACGAGCAATATGTTATACTTAATTATTGGAGAAAATTACACTTTTGGCCCTATGATTATTGTGGTCTTGTTAATTTGAGTATTTGACTTTAAAAATTATTAATTTAGTTCCATAACTATGCAAATTTTAACACATTTGGTTATGCCGATCAAATCGCCAGCCAAATGTTGCCAGAAAAATGTAATTACTTTTAAATTGTTTATTACTAAGGGTAAAATATTCATTTTAAGTTTAAAGAAAGGGAGGAAAGTTCATCCCGGTTAGCCCAGATGAAAAAAACCTCTCTTTTGCAGAGAAAATCCGATCTTGTCCTCCAACTGCTCGATGCAATTCCTCCGGGTAAACCCTCTATTTGTATCTTTCTTGATTTTGTTTCTGTAACACATGTTGCATTGCTGCATAAATTCTTGAAAATGCAATTAACTCGAAAATACCAGAGTCAGAAATGTAAATTGAACAGTCCTAAATTTAGGAAGGATGTATTTTGTGTGTATTGGGTTGCTCAATTGGTGAGAACCCTAGTTGATACGAACCAAGTTTAGCCCAAATTCTCAGGCCGGTGTAGGAGCATCACTACTTCTCTCCTAGATAAAAGTAGAATAGAAAGGGATGTTGATGGCTAATTTTGTACTGTTATTGAATTTTGCAGAGATAAGGAAATTATCAATGCTGCGAGCTATATACGAGTACTTGAGGGGGAAAATATTGGATGTGCTTCCCGATTATAAGAAGGAAGCAGAGGATCACCTCTCCACAGCTGTAAGTGAGATTGATTTCTTGTTAATTTTCTGTACTGGGTTCAAATTTGGGGTGTTTTTTTTTTTTTTTTTTTCACTCTGTTTTATTTGTTGGGTATATGCTTTGTTTACCAGGTAAAGTTGAACCCTTCTCTTGCATATGCTTGGCTGGATGAACTTTCCCTCTTTTTTTTTTTAAAGCTTAGAATGACTATTTTACCCTCATTAATAAATAATTTAAAAGTAATTACGTTTTTCCGACAATATTTGATCGGCAGGACTAAATGTGTCAAAAATTATATAATTACGGGACTAAATTGATAGTTTTTAAAGTCAAGTACTTAAATTAACAAGATCACAATAAACACATGACCAAAATTGTAATTTTCTCTAATTATTGTCAAACTCATGAATGGTTGGAACTTTAATTTTAATTTTTTTTTTTTTTTGTAAGTTTTGAAAGTTTCACGACTTTTATAGCAATAGAAGTTCTCATCAAGCACAAAAGTTGATAAAAAGCAAGAGTTACATTTATGATAGCAGTAGAAGTTTGAGCATAATGAACTTTTAGCAGTAAATTAAAACTTCTAACACACAACAAGAATCTTCAAGAACCAACAAGAGTTTCTCGATAAGCAGAGCGTACTTTCAAGCACAATAAGCATGTGATTTTTTTTACCAACATTCTCTACTTATTCCTTACTACTTTTGGAATGTTGCATATTATCCGAGGATGATACATGTCTTTTTAAGAAATGTTTGTGAAAGATTACAAAAGCTAGAATTTTTGGACAAGTTGCAAGCAACCATTGAATGCAACCTACACATGTCAAATCCGAGCATAAAATTTTAGTGGCAAGTGGATGAGCTTGAATTTGTTTTCTTCCAACGGTTAGATTCGAAGATAAAAATATAAATGGGTTAAATGTCAAAGAAAAGACTCAAAAAGAAATAAAAGATATATTCATATTTACAAATTTAAGCATTCAAAATCTCAAATCATCATCAATCAAGTTCAAGTCTTGACTTGTGTCCAAGGGGGCAATTTAGTGGACTAGGGGATGGAGGGGGAGGAATGGTTTTGCTCCCCCTACCTAGACAATGGAGATGTTAGCTGGCATCCCTACACCCAACAACATCCTTGGTTGGCGATATCGGGAGCAACCAGCTATTGTCAGGTAACATGGTGAGGGAGGAGGGGTGGTCGTGGTTGGTGGCTTAGAGCATCACCATCAAAGTATATTTTGGGGAGAATAGTACAATACCTTATGACTTGGAAGAGAGAGAGGATAAGAAAGAGAAAAATGAGACTCTCCTGCAAGAATGGAGAGAATAGCAAAAAGTGGGACCCATGTCTCCATTTGCTCCACTCCCGCACGCTGTGCGTGAGGGCCAAAAAGGCACCCAACAGGCGCGTGCAGTGACAGTCATTATAGTATTATTGTTTTTATTTTAAAATTCAGTTTTCCTTTTTTTTTTTTCTCCTCTCCCCTCCCATATTTTCTTTCCTAATTACTCTTACATTCTCCCCCTAATATTCCGAACCGATAATGTTGTTTTTTGTGACAAGGGGACTTATGTGTGGTCCAGAACTCTAGGGGCTTGGCTTCCACTAAATTTTCAACTGTCTTTGACTCCAAGAATACTTTAAATAGGGTTCTCAAACTCCATTCAGACATCATCAACCGATTCACAAAGTATGCACTTGCGTCCTTAGCTTATTGCCCGCAATCTTTCACTCATCAGGTGGTGTTTAATTAGTGGATTGGGATATGTGACTTGGTCCCATAGACCTTTTTGTTTATCAATCTGATTTATTTATTAATCATTTGTAGTCCAATCGTTATGTTATGGACCCGTGTCCAGCATGCATGCTGGACACGGGTAATAGTGTCTTAGGCACTGTTATCTCTTTTTTTTTTCTTTTTTTTTTAAAAAAAAAATTCAAATCGCTTCGTTATAGGAGTATATGTTCATAATTTTATTACTATATGTTAATAACTGTACATTCATAACTCCATAACTGTACGTTCATAACTCTATAACTGTACATTCATAACTCCATAACTGTACATTCATAACTCCATAATTGTACATTCATAATTTTCGAAGCTTTATGTTCACAATTTTAGAGCTCTATGTTCATAATTTTATCACTATATGTTCATAATTGTAAGTTCATAATGTCAGAGCTCTTTGTTCATAATTCGATCAATAACTGTACATTCATAATTTCATAACTGTAGATTCATAATCTCATAACTGTAGATTCATAACTCCATAACTGTAGATTCATAATCTTCGAAGCTCTATATTCACAATTTTAAAGTTCCATGGTCATAATTTTATCACTATATATTCATAATTGTAAGTTCATAATGTTAGAGCTCTGTGTTCATAATTTCATAATTGCATAACTGTACATTCATAACGGCATAACTGTACATTCATAATCCCAAAAAAATAACGCCGTTAACGGCAAAACACGCGCGATTTTTTTTTTTTTTTTAAAACTAAATGACGTATTTTTTTTTTTTTTTTGAAAAACAACGTCATTTTGGGCCCGCGTCCACAATGAATTGTGGACACGGTTCCGGGGCATAATTTGCCTTGTAGTCCAAAAGCGGTCACGCAAAGGCAAGGGCCTTATACCATTATGTCAATATAAATCTATTATTACCGCCTCCTATTAATTTTTTTTATCAAACTACCCAATTCCATGATAGGTTAATTTTGTTCTCTAAAATCATTAATATAAAAGTGTTAAAAAAAAAGGGTAAATTTTTGGCCCCCTTGCTCCGCACCTAATCATTTTTTTTTTAAACCACCTAATCATATCTTTATTTATATTAAAATTAAAGAGTAGTAATTAATTTTAAAATAATAAATATGAAAATGAAAAAAACAAAAGAAAGTAAACATGATAGCTGAAATGGTTTGAGCACACCGTCGATGAATGAATGAATATAATAAATATTGGAAAGAATGAATATAATAAATAAAACGATAAATTGTCATTGATTCTCACGTACTTGAAACAAATGAATTAATTTTTTTTTTTTAAATGCTACTGATTCTATTACAATATAGTATTGATATCACCTTTACTGAGGCACAAACCCCCAACCTCTCATATAAGGGAGCAACTTAGTACCATTGGACCACAAAGGTCCTTGGCTTAGAAAGAAAATAAATAAATTAAAAATTGAATTAAATAAGAAAAAAAGGTAAGTAAAATAATAAATATAGAAAAATGCTTAAAAATTAAAGTTGACTAATTATAATAACGTCACTATACTATTCTCACAGCCAAAAATTTCTTAATTAAATAAGTGAAATTTAAGATCTATAATTGTAAATTGAGCAACTAAGTACATGATTAATATAAATAGAAGTAGTTTGCGAAGAATATAAATAAAAGTAGCAACATATAAAATTATAAGTGAAATCAATATTGAATGTATAGTAAGTACTTCACATATTTAAGTAAGAAGAGGATTGGAGATTTAGAGAGAGCCCATTGATTTTCAGTGTTAGTTGGAAGTGAAAATGGTTAGTCTTAGCTGGTGTTGGATTATGGTTGAATCAATAGTAATCCCCAATGGATTCTTCATGAAATGGTTTTACTTGAGCTTCTATATCCATCCTTCTTTTCTTGCACTTCTCCAAATTTTCCTTTGGATCACAAAGCTATACACCTATCTTCTATCCTTCTTAGTTTTTGTTTCTAAAATCTCCAGTTTTGTTATCACCAAAACCCTCAGCTTCTTCAACCGTTGCTTCTGCAACAACCAAAGCCCCAGCACAATCATTATTCCAACTACTTATGGATTCAAAACAAGCTTATCAGTAGTCAATATTTCTGCGGTGAAAATCTACCAAGAAGAAGAAGAAGTTTGTCATGTTGTCCTATCAAGTTGCAGCTCGAATTCATCGACCTCGGGGTATGCATCTGATGGGATATTGAATGATCAGTTTTGGGCATCTTCTTGTAGCGAAGAAGAAGAAGAAGAAGAAGATGATCATGTCTTACTATCGAGTTGTGGCTCGAATTCGCCTGAAATGGGGATGAGGACTGATCAGTTTCTGGTATCATCACCAGCTTGGAGCTCCTCAGCCGCTGAAGAATATGAATTTGATGAGATAATGGCTGCTGCAGGTGTTTGTGACTTAATAAATTCGCCACCTGCAGCCATGGGTGATGATGAGGAAACCAATATTGATGATGAGTATAATGTTGGTGAAGATGACGATGATGATGATGATGATGATGGTCACCAGCTCTATCAGGAAGTAACAGATCCATTCTACAATGCATATTTACAAAAAATGAAATGGTTTGATGTTCTCAATCATGATAGATTTTTCGCTACAAGTGAGTATGATATGATATTTAATTAAGTTCAATTATATATGTGTAGAATTCGAATAAGATGTGTTAACCTCTTCTCGCGGACATGCGAACAGATTTGGACCATTGGATAAGTTCAGATCAATCATGGAAAATCAATCAAAATGGAAAAAACACCGTGACTTTTTTGGTAATTTTTTGCACCCAAATATATTTTTGTGGTGTATTAAGTGCTAATCTGTTGTGTACTGAGTGCTGGTATGTGATGCACTAAGTAGTGGTTTATGGTGCACTACGTGCTAGTCAATAGTGCACCACCAAATGGTGGTTTGTGGTGCACACGGTAATGTTTGACAGTGCATTGGTCTCAAAGCACCATCAAACATATCTAAATGCACCAGCATATCATTAAAATTACCGAAATACTACCTCGTTTTTCACTTTTTTATTAATTTTTAACTGTTGATCTGAGCTCATCCAATAATCTAAATCTATTCCTACGGAGGAGTCTATCGCACCACAACCAAACTATATATATATATATATATATATATATATATATATATATATATATATATATATATATATATATATATATATATATATAGTGGAGTTAACTAACTAGCTAACATAATTTGGTATTGGATAATCAATCATGTGCATCAGAAGCGATGATGAATGAGAAGCATATTGCAGCAAGAAGGGTAGGGAAGAGCTTAGAGCATGATTTAGAGTTAGTTTATGTGTCGCAGTCATGCTTGTCATGGGAGGCCCTACATCATCAGTTCACAAAGGTTGAGGCTGCTCATAGTCATATGTTGTTGTTCCACAACAGCGTTGCAGAAAGATTCCACAAGTTTCAGATTGTGTTGGAAAGGTTTCTTGAAGATGAGAGGTGTAGTAGTAGTGGAGGCACAACAAGGCATTCTAATTACATCCATTCAAAATACTCTCTCCAAACTCTACTCCTTGTTCCTCAACTCTCAGGTACGCATTACATTTTATTTTGCTTTTAATATGCATAAAAAGCAAATTGTAGATGAACCGGTATGCTCAAAGTGGGCAGACCCCTTGTGCACTTATCGCACCGACATTTGACCTTGTGTGTTGAGTTAGAATTACCGTGATTTACAATCCTATCAAATGTTCTGTCGGATTTGGGTGTGGGGGCTCTTAGAGTTGGGGATTCAACTTTTTGGGAAGAGAGCACGCCAATATAATAATGAATTAATTAAATGAAAATTAACTCATTCAACATTAACATTATTTATTCAAATGGTGATATATAGAGTATTATCCATTTACAATATTTAAATATATTTTTTTGGAAATAATTGAGCATTAATAAATATAAATTTTATTTTAATTTATGTTAACAATTCAGTATGTAAAATCAAGAAAAAAGAGTAGGTACTAAGGACCTAATTGTGGTCTAATGGTATCCGGTTGCTCTCCTAAATGGGAGGTGATAGGTTTGAGTAGTCTTGGTGGAGGCATTTAGTAGTTTTGGTATCCTTTTCTCTTGTAAAAAATATAAAAAAAAAAAAAAAAAAAAAAGTAGGTCACTAAATTGCAATTGAATGGATTGCCGGAAGTCAAGCACGCTTAACCACTATACCATTTATGCCATTTTTTAACCTATTATACTGGTTGAGATGAACCACTATACCATTTTTTAACCTGTTATACTGGTTGAGATGAAAAATTAAAATATGTTCAACTCAAATTGCATTAAAATAAATCAAAAACTATTTCAATTGCACATATTTTGTTTGTTTGATGGCTCGATTACACATTTCTTTAGTTCAATGATTCAATTGCACAAAAATAATAAGTTTAGTGACATATTTGATACTTTTTCCATAAAATTAATTTATAGTAACCTATCCAACTAACCATAACTCAGCTAATTTTTAAAACATGTTTAATACAATTTATAATTAATGTCAACAAATTAGAAAACAACCCAATTTTTTTAAAAAAATTAGCCTGCTTTTCACATACTATATATAATGCTACTTGGTTAAGTTGGTTGTGAGTCTGTGTTTATGTATTTCTTTTCTTGATATCTTCATGACATGTTTGACAAGTGTCTCTTAATTTAAATTAAGTTCAACACTAATATAATATATTAAGCTTCCATTTTAATTAAAGTGCAAGTCACCAGTCAACTATAAATTATGTTTGTACCAATTAAAAGAGTAAGATTTTGATTCTGACAGACCAAAACAACTAAATTAAAGTAGGATTGATTTTCGTGGCAAATAAGAATAGTTGTTGGTTTATCCTTGTCGCCATTGCAACGCCTCTTTCCAGAAAATGATGAATCAGATGGACCACAAGCACCTTATCTTAATACATATATACTAATATTCAATTCCATTCACACCTCACTCATATACATAGTTTAATCATTTTGCAAGATAAAAGAAACATGTATGACTTGTCCATTTACAATGTATTTAATTAGCCAAACTATATATACATAGCATTCAAAGTTGAGCACACATAAAAGATTACAAATAAAAAATCTTAAAAATTATTTTTTTGCATTTTTAAAAAAACAAATCTATGTTAAGTTTTTTTTTTTTTTTTGTTTAATTAATCTTCTTTTGATTATTTAGAACAAGACTCAATATTTTAATTATGATCTTGCACTATTGAGAATGATTTAGGTCGTTATAGTATTAATAATTTTTTTTATTGTTGATCTATTTTAGATTCAAATATGTTCTTTTTGCAAACTAGCACCAGTAACCCAATTGAATATGAGATACTACCAACAGAAAAGAAATCTATCCAAAAGCGAATTAACAACTTAGAATAATTCCAACCAAAAGTAGTATCTACTACCTAGCTAATACCATACCAACTACAATAAGTATTTAGATAATTGTTTTTAGAAAAGTGCAAATGTTAATTTTAATGCCAACTATAATGAATTCTCTTATATAATCTTGTATTAATATATTTTAATTTACTTATTTAAATACAAATGTTAAATATTAGATCAATTGTACAATGCGCGTGTAAAGAAAACTAGTACTGTATAGAAAGATGGAAGTGTGTTGTATAGAAAAAGTCTTTGGCCTACATGGTGTTGATGACCTTATATAGAAAGAGAAGAAACTCTACTTGAATTGGCATGAAAATGACATGCAAACTCCCAAATTTCCCTTGGTGTCTCTTAAATATATAGCATCTTTTCCCCTCTCTAAATGGGTATATTTGTAAACACTTAATTGAGCTTTATTGGGCCGGGTGTTATCCCATCAATATTAAAACTCCTAAAATGTGAGTGAAAATACTAAGAAGAAAGTTTATAATTGGTTAATTATTGAAAGGTTGGTTCAACTGTTCAATAGACCTGTTAGTTCAACGATATTACTCAACGGGTTTATTGAATTCGTTAGACCTGTTGAACAGCCGGACCTGTTGGTCTAATAGTACTGCTCAACGGGTTTATTGAATCCGGTTGAGGAGACCGTTGACGGACCAAATTGTCATTCTCAATAGTTTTTCTTATTAATTTGTGTCACAATTCGCGCTAATTAATAGATTAGGATGATTTGATCACAGTCATGGATTCTCTAATTTCAATAATCCAAATTAAGTCACATGCTCTCACCTAGAGAGTACGTGGTTTGAGAGCCCGACCCTATATATATACATACAAGCACATACCAAAACTTTAAAGTATTTATCTTGAATTATTGTCCAAAAATGTATACCTGTATTTGTGTTGGGATAATCCTTTATAATTTTGATAGGGTACCATAATGGAAAAATGTCGAATGAAGGCATTAAAGCAATTGAAGTGTTGAAGGCGATAGAAAAATGTATAACCACGTTTTGGTTATACGTGAAGGTGGATACCAAGAAATTAGGATGGAGTAGGCCGGTCCTCGAAGACCCAAGAGATTTGGATCTTCTACATGCCTTAACCAAGTTATTACGAAAGGTAAGATATGTTTCACGACCCATCTCGATCTTAATTAACTTGAAATTCTTTATGGATGTTTGAATGAACAATTGGAATATATATAATGTTGAAGAAGGAGGCAGCGTTGAAAAGAGTAGAAGGAAAAAGGAGATGTTGGTTGAGGAGGAGAAGAGCAGTGCATATGCAGGAGGAGGAGAACACAGAATTAATATGTAGAAAGATAGAGATGAAGTTGATTGGGAGGGTGCTGAAGCTTCCCATCATCTCCACTTCTCACCTCCAATGGTGTCAACACAAGCTTAGTAACTTAGAGTTCAACAAAGATGGAAGCATAATTAGGGCATACAATGCCTTCTTGTTTCCTTCTTGAAACTATCATCACTCTTCTTCTCCCAAAAGGTTGAATCCCCAACTCGACGGTGACTAAATGACTCAACCGACAACGTAAAATGCTGGTGCCCACAAGGGATATGTTCACTTTGAGCATTAAAAAAAAATGTATTATAATGTTTAAAAAAATGATTGCATGCTTGTTTCTTGTATGATACTCTTATATTTTTTAAAATAATAGTTTGTGTGTATGTATGTATATATTTAAAGTTGTAGAATTCATATTAATATTATTGAAGTAAGATGCTAGTATAGAAATGATAAATTACTAAATATAATTATGGTAACATTTAATTAAAATTTAAATGAAATCAAATTTATCGTTGAAGAATGTTAGAAAAAAAAATATTGTGTATGCATGCGCGCATGGTAATAATAATGTGAAAAAATAACAGAAGTTATAATTGTATGGATATTTTTGTCCAAAAAATTGCATAGTACAACTTTTATAGCATAATGTACAAAAAAAATTAGAAAAAACGAACATAAACTATGAATAATATAACTTGAATTGAGACTTATTATGTTTTTAGATTTAAATATTTATTTATTTAGATTAGTAGAGTAATATACAATTTTAATACCCATATATTACCACCTATATCATTTTTTTCTAAAACAAGGTAAAATGCCTTCGCCGGCGAGGAAGCTTAGCAACAGGAAGACGAGTGGTCTAAATTCTTAAGGCTTCTTAGGTTGTGTTTGTCAAACACCCCAATGATTCATGCTATCTAATTATATGAAATATATTTCCATAAAATTATGTACTAATGAGTTGAGATGGCCGAGTTGGTCTAAGGCGCCAGATTAAGGTTCTGGTCCGAAAGGGCGTGGGTTCAAATCCCACTCTCAACATTGTTATCTAAATCTATTTTTGGGATTTCAGCCCTTCAATATTATGTCAATACGATTTTTAAAATCTTTTTAACTTTTTTCCCATACAACTAATCTTAATACAATTTTCGCCCCATAATTTTTAATAAAAATGTAATCTGTTTTTGCCCTAAAATTAATCTATATTATAAATTTCCCACCCCTTATTTTTTAAGCCCCATAATTTTTAAAATTAAAAATGTAATCTGTTTTTGCCCTAAAATTAATCTATATTATAAATTTCCCACCCCTTATTTTTTAAATTAAAAATGTAATTTATAATATAATCTTTTCCTAAAATTGTTATTCATGTTGTAAAATAATCAGGAACATGGAGGAAAATAGAGAGACAAGGGAGATGAGAAGAAATTACATTTTTAAAGGAATACGGCTTGTTAAAATTTGATAACAAAACAAAAAATGTATTTGTAACGAATGGACTATAAATTTGAATTGATGGTTAATTAAAGGACCACGGCTTGTTAAATTTTGATTATTGAAGGTTCATGTGTGGTTAATTTGGATTACGGATGGTAACAATTTAAAAATCAAAGGACCACGGGTCGTCAATTAGGATTAAATGTGATAAAATCACTGTACTCGATCGGAGGATCCAAGATGGTATTAACTCCCCTTATAATTCTATGTGTGTGTGTGTTTGGGGGAGGGGGGGACAATTAAGAGATTTTAACCTGACTCAACAAATGATAAATACGTAACTGAATCAATTTGATACATCCTTAGTCACTGGAAAAAAGAATCATACTCCAATGTGTGATTTACTTTTCTTGATATCATGTAATTAGATTCTTATTGTACTCGGACTTTCTTGAGTAAAAATTGCCCAGAAATAATTTTCTCACTTTTTAAATTCTTAAAAAAGTTTCAACATTCATGACTAAATATTTTATATTCCGTAAGAGCAATCACATTTGTGATTTTTGAAGAATTTTTTTATAACAAAAAAAAACTTGGATGGAAATTTTTAAGGGGGGGGGGGGGGGGGGGGGTTTGATGGTTTTTATTACGATTGATGTAGTAAATACGACAATTACTATAAATACATATGATGTACTTGATCAGGCCGGGCTACAACCCTTATGTAGCCTGCTTGTTAGTTAAAGATATTAAGCTCAGTAGAAGGGCTAAAGGCGTGAGGCCAGTGGTTCCCGAGCTAAATAATGCTATCAAGAAATTGCCAAAAAAATCCCCTTTATGCAGATGGCGGGATTGGCGGCTTAGGTTGGTCCTTACACGTGCTTGACGATTCCTGTCGCCTTGAAGTCCATTATAATTGTATTTGATTGGCCCTTCAAGTACTGAAGGTTGGGCGCTCGGTCCCGAGCTAAAGTGATCGGGGAAGTTGGTGGACACTACTTTTGGTCTTGCTAGCCATATTGTACCGAATATCTGTTTTCGTCGAGAATACGCGTGGTCTATCTATGTGGGGGAAGGTCAGATCGAGCTCCTCCCCAATGCTGGGTTCGACACCAACCAAGTGTACTTTTTAAATGCCACCGTAACCCATCAGCCACTACCATTCAAGAAAATCAACCCATGTAAAATAAATTTGAGCGAATATCTACGGGACGTGCAACAACTCTTGTGAGGTCGGTTAGGCCTCACCGTACGGCGTGCCGCATCCGTCCGCAACTTAGGCACCATCATGCCGCATCCGTCCGTCCGCAACTTAGGCACCATCGTGCCGCATCCGTCTGGCCGATCCGGGCAGAAAACATTGTCATGTGAGGAGCGCTTGTGTCGTCTTAAATGAAGAGGCGTGCTTGGTAGGACATCGTTGATTTTCTTTTAGTGCCAATTCAAAATGCACGCAACGAACGTTGTCTTAGCGCCGGACGGTGGGGCCTGACCAACCTCACGACGTTGCGAGCAGCGAACTGCCCACGTCGCCGCGATCCGAACACTTCACCGGATCATTCAATCGGTAAGAGCGACGGGCGGTGTGTACAAAAGAGCAGGGATGTAGTCAACCCGAGCTGATGACTCGCAAACCTACGCTCTGTATACATTAGCATGGGATAACATTATAGATTTCGATCCTATTACGTTAGCATTCGGAATCGGAATAATGATTAACAAGAGCGTACCACTCTCTACGTATTCTCAAACTTTAAATAGGTAGGACAGCCGGGTTACAGTGCCCAATTGAAAATATCTTTTAATGATTAGTATACTTTTATGTACACAGCATCCAAGGCCTGAAGGCTGAATCTGTAGACTGTAGACTGTAGGTGTAGGCCAACGTCCACCTGCATCACCGATCACGAGACTATGAGTTTGCGCCACCTAATACTGCCACTGCTAGGGCTGTTGGGCGCTGAGGGTGACGGTTGCGGTGTTGCATCGATCAATGGACATCTACCTTCCACTTTGTACCGTGGCCTCGCCTCTCTCCATCAAATCTGAACCCTCCATGATTGATTTCTTCTTCCCTGGGTCCCTCTTCCACCTCCTCCGCGCCAAATCTTTTCTGCCGTCACTTCACTTCCCTCTTGTTGCTCTCTCACTCGCTTCTACTCCATCTTCGCTTCTTCTTCTCTGATCGGAGTCACTTCGTTGAGGCAACACATCGAACGCCTTGCGATCACCTTCTGATCTCTGTGAATTGTGATGGAGAGCTCAGTTATCCGGTCCACGCTTCCCCTGTTCACACCTCGTCCGAGAAAATCCCCCTATTATGGAGCTTCTCCTGATTCCTTAGTCGTGTTCCCCAGAATTTTGAATGAAGCTGTCGCGAGGGTGTCTCTTGGCCAGGGGCGCAGCAGGCATCAAATGGGGAGCATTATGCGAGTAAGAGCGGCGGATAAAGGCGATGCCGACAGTGAAGAATCGGAGAATGCTTTGGAGAGTACGATTGAAAAGAGCAAGAAGGTTTTAACCATACAGAAAGACCTACTTCAACAGGTCTGCTTTGTTCTTTCACCATTCTTTCAGGAAAAACCAAACTCTGTAGTTTTATATCCTACCATCCTCTTTGCGTTGTTTAATACCTTGATTGAATGATTGCAATGAAGTTGTTCGGGGATAATGTTTACCCATGAAATTACAAGATTAAGTGTCCTAAAGACGAAGAACTTTGGAGAATTTACATGTTTTAGCATGTGGGAAACGTGCCAATGTTGAGCTTAAGCTTCTAACAAAATCAGGATTATTATTGCTATGGAAAAGAAATTTGGCTGCATGGGTCATTTTTCTATTTTATCATGGTTGAAACTCTTTTGTTTTAGGATGTTTTTATGGGCTTAACTGAATACAAATGAGTTTTATTTTTAAAGACTTGAATTATATCAGAACACTAGTTCATTCTATATGTCATTCTGGTAATCTCAATGCATTCTCATATAACTTTTTCTTATGTGTTGTATTATCACCTTGATTGCAGATTGCTGAAAGAAAGAAATTAGTGGCTTCAATAAAAAGTAGCCTGCTTGACCCAGATAGTAGTGTTAAAGGTGGGGAGGGCAGTTTTGCAAGTGCGGATATTGCTCCAACCCATGAAGACACTGATGCCGACTATAATGGAGTATTATCTTCAAGTGCTCAAGAAACTCTTGACTTGGAAGAATATCCACAATTAGCTGCAAGCAAACATTTTGTTGAAACTTCTCAAACAGGTAAAAAGGACATGCCTCGTAACGGGGCAACCTTGGACAAAGATTCAGACAAAAGAACTACAAAAAGAAATCCAAAGACTGTGGGATCTACTGAAAGGCCAAGTCAAGTGACTTCTTCAGCAGTAAATTCTCAGGAGCCGGCAAAAGCTACCTCTGAAACTGTGAAGTCCAGTCAAGTGATGCCACTGGACGTGGATTCACAAAAGAATGTGACATCCTTTTCTAGGGAGGTTATTTTGTCTGATGTTCCTTCCTCCTCTTCAATGGCATCTGCATCTACTTTAGAGGATGAGAAAAGAGATCTTAGAGAGTCAAGTTCAAAGGAGATAGATGTTGGGACTGAAGATCCTGTAAATGGAGACTTGAAGCCACCTCCATTGGCGGGAACCAATGTCATGAATGTTATATTAGTTTGTGCAGAGTGTGCTCCATGGTCAAAAACAGGTATGCAATATGCTATATACACTGTTGAGTGTTGAGGTTAACATTAGGATGCTTGAACTAATTCTTTATTCTGATGGCTTAAGTTTCAGAATTAGTTGCATTGTCATAATTCCTCCTGGAATGTCTTGTATACTTATCATATTGTTTCATTGCTCTAACTGATATATAAGAGTCAGAATAGTTCCATCAAAACAACCTCCCTCCCCCCAATGACCAAAAAGTAAATATGGCATTGGTTGTTACCTCAATATATTGAATGGGATCTGTACTTGACATCCTGTTCCAAATTGTTTCCTACACTCCAGAAATAGACTGAAGAATAACACCATTTTAATGAAACAGTTTGAAAGCTTGATATTTAAATGGGAAGAACAAAAGCTTGAATTTATATCATGGTGTATGTCCATATAGTAGAAACAATTACATGCACCTGTATAATTGCAATGTAACTATGCAAGGACTCACTAATGATTATCTTAGGTGGGCTTGGTGATGTTGCTGGAGCACTACCCAAGGCTTTGGCTCGGCGTGGACACAGAGTTATGGTAATGTTATTGAGCTTCCTGTGCTAATATCATTGTAGGTGAACTGTTCTAGAGAAAGATCATAGATGAGTATTATCAATGTCATTGAAATTTAAATGTGCTCCATTAGCTCTATTACTCAGCTGCCCCTGTATTTTAGCAAGAGTTCCTACCCTGTAATACTTGTTTATTTTCCATTGGAACGTATAGGTTGTGGTTCCTCTTTATGGAAACTATGCTGAACCTCAACATACTGGAGTTCGAAGAATGTATAAGATTGATGGTCAGGTAATAGTAGTTATTCAAAATGCATTTATTATTCATTGGGCCTGAAATTCCTGTTTGTTTGCAAATATGTACTAATAATCTTTGGTTTCAACCTCTGTATCCTTGCAAATATGTACTAATAATCTTTGGTTTTAACCTATGTATCCTTGCAAAATTGTACTAATAATCTTTGGTTTTAAACTTTGCAGGATATGGAGGTGAATTACTTCCATGCCTACATTGATGGTGTGGATTTTGTCTTCGTTGATAGTCCTATATTACAGCATAGAGAAAACAACATATATGGAGGAAATCGTGTGGTATGAACCCCCTCCACTTCAAGAGGGGAAAATAATTCATCTCTCAACATCCTGAATACTTATAATAATAATAATTTTGAGAAACCCCTAAATCATATCTTCTTTATGATGTTTTATATGATCTTTTATATGCAATTGCAGAATGCATCACAGTTTCCTTAGAATGTGATATTATAGCTTACAGCTAATGCTAGTTTTAAAAATACCAATGTGCTTTAGCTGATCATTACTCAGTTTATCAATTCATTTGTGTAACATAAGGTATTGCTTGAGTATATGCTCTGGATGGCACACCATTCTTTTGTCTTTTGTCATCTTTTATTCATCAGTACCTTGTAGTTTGATATTGCTGCTAATTTTTCTTTCTGCTTCCTATTGCAGGACATTTTGAAGCGCATGGTCTTATTTTGCAAAGCAGCTATTGAGGTATGTTAGATTTGGTAGGCACTGTACTTTGGCTACTGCTTCCTGTCAAAAGGACACTGTAATAGAAATCTTCTACTCAGTAGACACCTGACCAATATCTAACATTTTAGGATATGCAAAAGATTAAATTTGGGAACATGAAACTTCTAGGTGAAGAGTGAGTAAAATATTCACTAGAATTTCCAATTAACATTTTACAGCTTGATACAAATAGAGAATGGGAATGGAAAACTGTAACAAAAACTAAAAAGTGAATATAAATTAAATGAAAAATGCACTTATATGGTTTTGTCATCTCCTCATTCGGCCATCTCAAGAATCAAGATGCCAGCGGACTATCTTGCCACCTTGGGCATTGGGAAGTAATCTTGCAGATTGTATTTCTTGAATTGGTTTTTCTATTTTGGATTTTGTTAATGCAGCGCTTAGTGAACTGTTGAATTGGCAAATTAGGTTCCGTGGTATGTTCCGTGCGGTGGTATTTGCTATGGAGATGGAAACTTAGTGTTCATTGCAAATGATTGGCATACTGCATTACTGCCAGTCTATCTGAAAGCATATTACCGTGACAATGGAGTAATGAAATTCACTCGATCCATGCTTGTCATTCATAACATAGCACACCAGGTTTATTCCATCTTAAGGTTTCTACAACAATCATCTTGTCTCTTTCTTGTCTAGTATTGATCCATGCTCTTACTTTAGGGTCGCGGGCCTATGGATGATTTTTCCATTGTGGACCTACCAGCTCAATATGCAGACCTTTTTAAGATGTATGATCCAGTAGGAGGTGATCATTTCAACATATTTGCAGCAGGTCTAAAGACAGCTGACCGTGTAGTTACAGTGAGTCATGGATATGCCTGGGAGCTTAGAACTTCTGAAGGTGGATGGGGTTTGCATGGGATCATTAATGAGAATGAGTGGAAACTGCAGGGGATTGTCAATGGGATTGATACTGAAGAGTGGAATCCCCAATTGGATGTTTACTTGAAGTCTGATGGCTATGCTAACTATTCCCTGGACACCTTGCAGACTGGTAAACCTCAGTGCAAGGCAGCATTGCAAAAGGAAATGAATTTGCCTGTTCGCGATGATGTCCCATTAATTGGTTTCATTGGGAGGCTTGACCACCAAAAAGGTGTTGATTTGATAGCCGAGGCAATCCCTTGGATGATGGGTCAAGATGTGCAGGTGGTTATGCTGGGCACGGGCAGGCATGACCTTGAACAGATGCTCAGGCAGATTGAAGGTCAATACAGTGACAAAGTCAGAGGATGGGTTGGTTTCTCAGTAAAGACTGCACACCGGATAACTGCCGGTGCAGACATTCTGCTGATGCCATCAAGATTTGAGCCTTGTGGACTGAACCAGCTGTATGCTATGAGCTACGGGACAGTCCCAGTTGTCCATGCTGTGGGTGGACTTAGAGATACGGTGCAGCCTTTTGATCCTTTCAATGAATCAGGGCATGGATGGACATTCAGTAGGGCTGAGGCAAATCAGCTGATTGATGCACTAGGGAATTGCTTATTAACATACCGGCAGTACAAGCAGAGTTGGGAGGGGCTCCAGAGGCGTGGAATGATGCAAGACTTAAGCTGGGATCACGCTGCCGAGAAGTACGAGGAAGTTCTTGTTGCTGCAAAGTATCAGTGGTGAGGTTTACTACAATCACTGCTGACAACAGGTATGATTGTAGACTTGTAGTGTTGTTCTGCACTTGTTGGTTTGAGCTGAATCAATCTTATTTCTGTATAATTGTTTCATCACTTTTGTTTCTCCAGGATCAGAAATCATGCATTCCGAACTAGCCCATCGCCATTCACTACTATCTATTTTCAGATCTTGCCAAGAGAAAAGGATGAAACAGATTGCCAACTTATTGTATAGGCAGTAGGCTCCCTCAAATGTTTGAAGTGAGATCAAATTTTATGGTTGGTTTTAGTTTATTTAATAACCTTAGCTTAATCTATAGTCCGTCCTATACCCAGCCTGCCTGGGTTCTTCTTTCCCTTACCCTTTAAGAGTTAAAGAGTAAATCTTTTTGCACACTGCTATAGTATTAGTAGTCGCCACTAGCCAGTAGGGAGTATTTTAATTGCAGTGCTAAATAAATAAAAACAGCAGGCCCACAAGCATTTGTCAAATGCTAATATGCTATGTTACTCCTCACCTGACGGCTTGAATTGCTTTAGACAAATCATTACAACGCCGTATTCGTTGAACAAACTGTTACTTTGTTGAATTAAGATCAACCTCAATAGGCATGCTTTTGGGGGGTGGGGGGTGGCAAGTAAAATAGAGGAGAGAGAGAAAATGAAAGAAAAAGGAAAACAAGTCTGACAAAAAAATAAAAAACGAAGAAGAAGAAGACCCTTTTTTGGTGTGGTAGTGCGCGAAACGTACAATTTATGCGTCATTTGTCTAATTATTGGAGCTCACAAAAAATTTTGATTTGCAAGATTTTTATTATTTTTTAAAATCATGTTTATATGTGTTAGAAATCTTATTTTAGTTTTTTTCTTTTAGAAAAAACCTCTTAAAATCGACTGATACCGATGCCCTAAACAAACAAAATTTTCAAATTCCCTATGGCTTATTTGTCGCTAAATATGACTACAGTTCTAGTTTTGAACTACTAGTCCACATAGGGATAGCAATGAATCAAGAATGGGTTAGGAAGAACTACATTCACTATTCGACCGATAAGAACTACATTCACTATTCGACCAATTTTATACTTTCTCCGCCCACCATCCTCCATCTCTGACTCACATTGCGGTGGACTTTTTCAAAAACTTATCCCAACTCACCGGGTGCAGGTGCCCACTACGCATACCCACAACTTATTACCATATTATTTTTAAAAAATAAATTATTAGTTTAGCAATAAAAATAGTAAAATGTTAGTAAAAATTATTTTTAAAAATACTTTTATAATTAACTGCATACTAGTACTTATTTTACTATTATACACACACACATATACATGGTGGGTCGGGTGGGGTTTTAAGTGAATTTTGTACATAGAACTCGAAAGACACAGCTTTTTGTTTGATCATCACAAATGGCGTCAATGTTAATTTTGTGACCCTGGGTGGTTGTCGACAAGCCCACATATATCAGTTGGTAAACAAAATAAAATATAAACAATTAAAGGGAAAAATAAATGGATACAATATTTTTACATAGAAACCATAAAACCACGAGTCTTTTTCAACGGTGTCAAGTCAAAATACATTCTCTTTATAATGAATTTTGTATATGTATATTTTTTGTTTAGAGAGCTCTCGGATTAAAGAAAGGTGTATATTTGGATCTCTTTTTCGCTTCCCTTTATTGTCTTTGATTATGGTCTTTTATAGTGGAAAAGATGGTCTATGGTAATTTTGTATTTTTTTTGAAAGCGACCACTCCAGGGCCAGCCACCCAGGTCCTAGTATTACATCCATCATATAATATGCAAATTGATGTCATCTTAATAAATCTAAAATTGTGTTATAATGAACCTACAATATTATAATAATGAACAATGATCAATGATATATTTTTAATGAACCTGCAATATTATAATACTGAGCAATGGTCCATAATATAATTTTTCGTGGGGTGGCAATTGTTATATTGTGGACCAGGATTCATCATATGATGTTTAAACTATATCTATAGTTAACATATTATGTACATTTAGTTAATAAATTATATACATATTACAATTAATTAACATACTATGTACCTACAATTTATTTACAGATATATAATTTGTTAACTGAAGATACATAATATGTTAATTGCATGTACATAATCTGAATGTCGTTTGAATAAGGGTTTACAATGTAAGGTGGACCTTGATCCATAATATAATTTGTCACAGGGGTAGGGGTTCAATCCTTATACCATGGACTAGGGTTCACAGTGCATTGTGGATCTTGGTGTATGTATATGTGTCTTATGTTGTGAATTTTTGTGTCTTATTTTATGAAATTATGTACTTTAAATAACATAAATTCTGTACCTAAAACAAATTAGTAATTATGTCTTATGTTATGAAATTTTGTATATTACCAATATAATATGAATTCTGTACATTATCGTTTTGATCTAAGATACATAATACTATGTGGAGTCTGATACATGATATAAATTTCCGTAGGGGTTGGGGGATTGTAATTGTTGAAGCTAATGGAAATTTGGCCCTAAAGAAAACGGTACTCCGAAAAATATAAAAGACCATAGGCATGATTGACTCGTGTAAAGTGGGCTAAAGTATGACTGTGAAAAATTACGAATCGGCAGAAAATAAGATAATCACTCTGCGACAGACCAACAGTCAAGTAAAACAAAGAAAATGTTATATATGAATTTAATTTTTATATTGAACATGTTATCAAATGATATGATTTGTTATGAGTGTTGTATACAATTTTTTTTTTAACATTATTTGTATATTTTGTTTATAGGTAAGTGTATTGATTGGGTGAAATGATTAGGAAAAAAAGTATTATTTTGTTTTTCTAGGTTAATCATAATATGTAAATATACCATGTCAACAAAAGGTAAAAAATATACTCCCTAATATATGTGTATTTGTAAATTGGAAAAATGCTAATACAAGATAATAAGATAAAGAGTCACACTTGTGTGATACCGCCTCACGCAGAGACGGAGCCAAAAGGGGACAGCTGCCCCCCTCATCCCACTCTCACCCCATATATAACTTTTGTATGTATATATGTATATATAGTACATGTTTTAGTATTAGTATAAAAAAAACTACTAAAAATCAACAAAAAATGAGTTAGATTAGTTGCTAGGGCACATATTTAGTTATAATAAAGGTTAAAGGTTTGAATCATTTGGCTTCCAACAATCATGTTTTTAATAGCTTTTTTTAATATTTAACACACACACACACACATATAATATATATATATATATATATATATATATATATATATATATATATATATATATATATATACTTTTATATTAATAATGAGATGTGTAATTTATAATATGTTTTTTATTCAAATTATTTTATCAAATTAATTATGTTTCATATTTTGTTATGAATAAAGTTTCGATGTGTTTTATTTTTCGCTCATATCTAACAATATTTACAACTATATTTCTTAATTAATTAATTTTTTTAAAAAATTATCTCTTTTGTTTTAATATTTCGCCTTTACTGAAAATTTTTTTTTATGAATCTATCTCAACTTCTTCGCCCCCCTCAACATAATTTATGGCTCCGTCCCTGACCTCACGAATCTTTATTCCTAATACGGTCTCACACAAGTTTTGCCAAAGACAAAATAACATCACATAGTTTTAACAAAAAATAGTTCATATAAAATAATACTTTCTCTTTTCCACTTTACATGTCCTGTTTATTGTTCACTAGTCAAACCAATTTTTTTTTTGTTTATTTGTTTTAGTTTTTTTTAAAAATATTTTTAAATTTAATTTTTTTTTTATGTTTAATTGTACTTTTAATTTAATTTATAAATATATAAATTTTATATACTAATACTAAACTTAAAAAGTAATATCAGTTAAACATTGTTAATTAAATTAGACACATAAAATTTGACGGGGTCAGGGAATAGTAAAATATACCTATATAGTGGTTCATTATTATTTTCTTCAATTAATTTTTTTTTTCTCATAGAAAATAAAAAGACGTGTTGTTGGCTTGCAGAATTTACTGCAGCTTTCTTTTTGCGTAAGACTTTTGGGGAATATTTAAACAAACTTCTCCTGACGACTGACTGACTTTACTTCTCGTCTTCTCCAAGCCAATTCGTTGAAGAAAAGTATACAGTACAATAAAGACAACATTTTCCTATCAATTTCCCAACACAAATTTAAAATATTCCCTTCCTATACAGTTTTTTTCCTCCTCAATTAATGATGAGGATGTTGGTTTTGGTTCACATTATTTCAACTACAAATACGACTATTTCAATATATTATGCGTGTTGATTTTTTATTATGATTCATATTCACATTCTCTTTTGAGGAAAAGTACTGTAAATTTACTTAATTGGGAAGAAAACAATAGGCTAAAAAATTCAAATGTATTTGGTATGAAATTACGGGTAAAACATAAAATCAAGGGAAAATAATATTTTTAGCCTTAAATCATTTTACTTTTTTGGAATGCGATCCTTTTAATGATACGTTTGGTTCCTCAAATAGTATAGTTGCAGTTCGCGATATATCATGCAGTAACTTTAGAAATGAGATCATGTAAACTTAGGATTAATCAAGTAAAAGTGAAAATTTTAGAATCACCCAAGTTTTTTTTTTTTTTTTTTTTTTTTTTTTTTTTTTTTTTTGTTTCTAAATACTGATTAAACATAAGCGTAGGGTGTGGGGAAACATGATTTGAAGATGGCATGAAAGTTGTGTTCCATAAGGTACGGCCGGCTAAGAAAGTTCCATGAAACTTCTTTATTGTCTCAACCCAGTCAATGGAATATGAATATGCGATAGATCATAGATGCATAGGATACCCAAAAATGGCCACCATTCCCTCCATTTGTGCCGGAAAAGAGATCTGATCTGATCTGGGGTTTGTGAGAAGCTTCCTTTGCTTCTTCCCCCACCGCCTACGTCTCTCTTCTCAATTATATATATATATAAATTCCCCCCTCAGCTCCCATCAGAACATATATACACACATCAACAACCAAAAACTCAATTTCTCCTCAGCTCTCCTTTATTTGCTTCCAATAATTTCCATCTCTTTATTATATATACGAGATCGAATTGGATTGAAAAAGTGAGAACGAAGCTAATATAGCCATGGCTTCCATCAGCTCAGAGAACCGTATCCCCATCAAGAAGCTGCCCATCGCTGCTACTCCAGTTCTCTTTGGGGTCATTTTGCTCTACATAATCATGGAATGGGGGAGAAAGGTTTTCAATGTATTAACATCTCAGTTTTCCAATTACACTAACACTAGCCATCACCAAAAAGCTATAGATTATTCGGGGTTGTATCAAAAGCTAAAGCTGCCCAGTTTCAGAGAGGAGACTGAAATTAGCATTGGCAGGGATGAGGTGGAGACGGTTCTTGCAAAACTGGGTCTGGAGATTTCTTCCCACCCTGAACCGGGTAGAGAGAAGAGGTTGAGCTCCAAGGACTTTTCCGGGCTATTTGGTGGCGGTGAGGAAGAAGAGGGTAGTGGTTTTGAAGTGGATGAGGTGAAAGGTGCTTTCGATGTTTTCGACGAAAACAATGATGGGTTTATTGAGGAGAAAGAATTGCAGAGAGTCCTGTGCGCGCTGGGATTGAAGGAAGGCTTTGAGTTGGAGAATTGCAGGAATATGATGAGGATGTTCGACCAAGACGGAGATGGGAAGATTGATTTCCATGAATTTTGTGCTCTTTTTTAGATATATCTCTATATTGCTCACCAGTAACTAAAAACACTTTTTTTGACGTGCTGCTATTGCTTATTGTACGTTGCATGGTTCTATTCTTATTTTAGAGATCGATATGATGATCCCCAATTCAATTATATATGTATATATCAACATTTTTTAATTCACTTCCCATCCTTGTAAACTTCTTTTTCATCTTCCTTCCCCTCTTAAGATTGATTTTCAAATTGCCAACCTAAATTGTACTAGCTAACACCTAAAACAACTTTTAAGTTATTGGAAATATGATACACCATTAATTGGGAATATGATATACCATATATATACAATAAGAAAAAGTTTAAAAAAAAAAAAAAAACAAAAGAAAAAAAAAGCTGTATAATAGAATCCCTACAAAAGTGTATCTTTTCTCTATAAAAGCCTTGAAAACCACACCCATCACATCCAATCAACTTTATACTACTCTCCAGCACCTTTTTGAAATTCAAAATTTCATCAAACCCCTTTTCCCCCACTTTTCTTTGTGATGAGGTTAGGCGCTAATCACTACTTGAAGCAATGAGGGGAACATCATTAATTATGGTTACACAAAGCTTATTATTTTATTTAAAATGAAAGAAAATGTCCAGTTGCGGGGATAGCTCAGTTGGGAGAGCGTCAGACTGAAGATCTGAAGGTCACGTGTTCGATCCACGTTCACCTCAAATTAATCTCTCATACTTTTCTATGTAAAACACATACTTACTCTTTACATTCCAATAGATTTTAACAGATAAAATATTCAAGTTCTCCGTTGTCGTCCAGCGGTTAGGATATCTGGCTTTCACCCAGGGGACCCGGGTTCGATTCCCGGCAACGGAAAAATTTTTTTGTTCTATTTTATCGTTCAAATGTGATCCAGCCCGTCATCCCCTGAATGGCCCAAAAAGTAGTTTTATGTGATGGGTTTCTACGGCAATCGATATATCGTGGACCCTGATTATATATGACGTTGTTTTGAATTTTAATTTTAACGGAGATTGTTTTTCAATTTGTGTTATAGAGTTTTTTTTTTATTTTATTTTATTTTATTTTATTTTATTTTAACTGTAAAGCATGTTTTTGGCATCGTGTTACGAAATTCTATACTTTAAACGTAAAGATTTTGTACCTGAAATTGATTAATAGTTGTATAACACAAAACATATTGTGTCTTATATTATGAAGTTATGTGCTTATAAGAGGTAAATTATTTACATAAATCAGATTTGAAAATAAATAAAATAAAAAACATGTGTATGTATATCATGTTATGTGTTTCTGTACATCATGTTATGCGTTTCTATACATCATGTTACGCAATTCTGTACATTAAGTATAATGATTTTGTACATGAAATTGATTAGTAGTTGTATAATACAAAACACATTGTATGTCTTATTTTACGATTTTTTTATAATAAAAAAGCTCGTTTATTTAATCATAAGTTGAAGCGATTACAAATATGATCGATGAAACGATATACCATTCCTTACAGTGAGATATAGAAACAACTTTCCTAGCAATGCGACAAAGAACTTGATTCGCAAACTGTTTCACAAATTTGAAGTTAAATTCGTTAGATTAACGCTTCTTTAATATAATTGAAGGCAACCTTCTCCACGACCGGAAACTGTTCGCCAGTCAGTCAGTTATCGGTCTTTTTTTGTTGAAATTTGCATTAGAATGTCGCCGAAAGGTTGTCAAAACTCTGTGATATGTAATAACAGGTCATTAACTAGTTTTCAAACTTCATTACACCAAAATACAATATTGACGAGTTTAATTACAATTTTATAATATTTTAAGTACCTAATTGATTTTTAGGTAAAGTTGAAGAAAAAACTAGAAAGCAAGACGATGGGCCTCTAGTAAGCCCAAGAATGGCAACCATGGGCATCTGAAGTTGTTGATGGACGGCTGAGATAGAGAGGAAGGAACAACGAAGTGTTAACTACTCCTCCATTGTTGTTTCTTCCATTCCATCGCAGTTCGCAGTGGAATGCTTCATCTTCTTTTCAATTTCCATTCAAGCAGGCTGCACATCAAGCAGGTTCATTTCCTTCTCCTCCATTTTACTCCTTTCTCCTCCATCCCTCTCCAAGCTTCTCACCAATCGCCTACAAAACCCACCACAAATAATGCATCTTTGGATAACTTTCGTGGCATTGCAAAACATGTGATATCCAAGTGCTCACATCTATGCAACAACACCAAAGCTCAGACCTCGCCCAACTCTTCTCTCAAACATTACTTCCTCACGCTTTCTTGCATCTCCCCCGAAACTGTTCGCAAATTCTGGAGAGTTCGTCTGTTAAAACCTCAAGATGTGCTTGAAATTCTGCTTGGGTTCCAATGCTGCGGCGATAATTTTGCGCTTGAGGCTAAAAAGGTTGAATCTTTGTGGGGGATTTTTAAGCGGGCCAGTGAGCAGACTAAGGGTTTTGAACATCTTCCTCAATCTTATAAGATCATGGCGTCAATGCTTGTCCGGGTTCGGTTGTTTGAGGAGGTTGAATCCTTGCAATCGATGGCGGGTACTCGAGGAATTTTGTTGGATGATCATGAAATGTTCAGTGACTTGATACAAGGGTATGTGGATGAGCTTCAATTGAAGAAGGCTATTTCAAATTATGATAGAATGAGGATTCTTGGCCTAGTTCCATCGTTATCATGCTATCAAGTCCTGCTCGAGTTCTTGGTTCAATTAAATGAGACACAATTGGGGTCTCAAATTTTTGCTGATGCTATAGAGCTTGGTCTGGGAAGGGCAGTAGCAGAAGGGTGCATTTATGGGAGTGTTGTTCGGCTTTTGTGTGCAGAAGGTAAAGTTCAGGATGCTAGAAATCTTGTTAAGAAGGTTCTAACTCTTGGAATTAAGCCCAATGGTTTAGTTCTCAATTCCATGGTTACTGGATACTGTGAGAAAAAGGATTATGATGATATACTGAGTTTCTTTGTTGAAGTAAGATGTCTCCCTGATGTTTATGTTGCCAATAAAATCATACATTCTTTGTGTACTGATTTTGGTTCGGAATGTGCTAATTCGTTCAGGCTGAAGCTAGAAGAACTAGGTTTTTGTTCCAATGAAATAACCTTTGGGATTTTGATTGGTTGGAGTTGCATTGAGGGAAAACTGAAGGATGCATTCGTTTATTTTTCTGAGATTCTGTCGAGAAGTCTCGAGCCCCAGATATATTCATATGACTCGCTTTTGAGTGGCCTTTTCAAGCAGGATATGTGGAAGCACTCTCAAGAAATTCTCAATGAAATGAAAGATAAGGCAGAAGTGCTCCATCTATCAACTTTTAAGGTTCTTTTAGCAGGTTATTGTAAAGCTAGACAGTTTGCTGAAGTGAAAGCCGTAGTTGTCCAGATGGCAGACTGTGGCTTCATCCAACTAACACCCCTAGAGGATCCGCTTACCAAAGCATTCACACTGCTGGGACTTGGTCCCTCTGCTGTGAAGATACAAAGAGATAGTGAATTGGGATATTCCAAGGCAGAATTTTTTGATGACCTTGGGAATGGACTTTATCTGGATACAGATCTGGAAAAGTATGAGACTGCTATGAACAAAGTTCTTGATGATGCCATGCTTCCCGATTTTAAGTCCCAAATATTGAATAGCATTGGGAGCAAAGGCATCAAAGAAACTATGCTAATGGTTGACAATATGGCTAGGTGGGGTCAAGAGCTGTCTTTGCCTTTGTTCTCAACATTAGTGAAAGGGCTTTGTGAATCCCATACTAGTTTGAAGACGGTTATCCGTCTGATGGAGGAAAATCCTGAGTTTAAGTATCAGCTTGATCAAGAAACTTTAAATAAGCTTGCTCGGGCTTATGGTAAAAAAGGTTTCATGCACAGAGCAAGAATAGTTGTGAATGGGATGCTACAGAAGCATCTAAGCGTTGAGAATCAAACCCATACTGTCTTGCTACTTGGTTTATGCAAGAAAGGCGATAGAATAGCTCTAGCTAACTACTGGCATCTTGCACAAAGATATAACTGGGTTCCTGGCTTGAAGGATGGAAAGGCTCTTCTCAGATGCCTATGCCAACAAGGATTGCTTGGCAAGGCTCTAGGGCTATTTGAGGCCATGCTAGTGCACTACCCTCATAAAGACTTCGTTGCCTTTAATGAGTTTCTTGAGCAGCTTTGTGATTTGGGGTATACAAACTCTGCTCTTGTTTTAGTTGAGACACTCATAAACCATGGTTACATCCCTGACCATGGGGCTTATTGCCTTCTTATCAATGGCTTTTGTAAAGAAAAGAAATTTGCCAAAGCTTTTCTGCTATCTGAAACTATGCTTGCTAAGAATTTCCTCCTGCCCATGGATGTATGTATTAAGTTAATTCCTCAGCTATGCAGGACTGGTAACATTGAGAAAGCTGTTGTTTTGAAAGATATTTGTGCAAAGGAGCAACCTTCAGGTTCGTTTTATGTAAACTGTGCTCTAATGCATGGTTTTTGCCAATCTGGGATGGTTGGTGAAGCATCAAAACTCTGCCAAGAGATGCAGGGGCAGGGTCTCGTCCTTGACAAGGAAGTCTATAATCTTCTAGTTCAAGGATACTTTCAAGCTAAAGACTTCAAGAAAATTGGAGAGTTGCTTGGTGTCATGATCCGTAAGAACTTGAATCTTACAGTTGCAAGTTACCGAAATTTCTTGCACTTAATGTGTGCAGAAGGCAAGCTCCATCTTGCATTGAACTTGAAAGAGCTTATGCTTAAGGAAAGAAACCTTCCACACACTTTGATATATAATATACTGATTTTTCGCCTCTTCTCAGTGAATAAAACTTCAATTGTGAATACACTTGTACATGAAATGAAATCTGAAGGACTGCTGCTTGAAGAAGTCACTTACAATTTCCTCATTCAGGGATTCTCTCGGTGTAAAGATGTGTCATCTTCCTTGCAGTATTTGAAAGCTATGATGCAAAAAGATCTTAGGCCAAATAATCGTAGTCTTAGAGAGGTAATAAAGTGCCTTTGCTGCAATGGGGAGCTTGAAAAAGCTTTGAACTTGTGTGAGGAAATGGAATCGAGAGGTTGGACTCTTGGTTCAGTCATTCAGAATGTCATACTCGAAGGCCTTCTTTCTCGTGGCAACCTCAGAGAAGCAGTGCAGTTTTTAGACCGTATAGCTATAAAAGGCCTGATTCCAGGGA